ATATATATATATATATATACTATTTGTGTTGATACGTGTATATATCTTTGTATAGGAATTGAAGGGGCATGGAAAAATATGAAGGATCGATCACTAGTCATTTTTCTGCCATCCAATCCGACCTTTGTATTGTGTTATGGACTTTAACTAAACATTAAGAAAGAAAACAGATTCGATGAAATATCCTATCCAATTACGTAAACAATCAAAACAATAATACTCTCATCACTTTCATGGGCTTATAGAGAATCTCTTTTATCTCATTATAAGCCATCATTACAAGTTACTAAAGGTGGAACTATAAATCTCGCTTTTCATCTAGTTGGGGTGTCACTTTTTTTGCCTCATGCCTAGTTCATGACAAGTTTTCTCCATTCCTTAGCCCCCCCAAGTGTTTCCCTTACTCATCAAGTCATCTTCACTTGATGCTTATCCCAACAAATTCAATAGTGAAACTCCAATATCATCACTAGCTAGCGTCTTCCTTCTTTCACATTATACACAACATATGTGGAAAAACGACCTCTTAATTTTAAAGTATTTTTTTAATAAACGTCCCCAATTTTATCAAATTATATAATTAAAAAAAACCAATATTTTAATAGCATTGATATCAATTAGTGTTTAACCAGTGTCAACCAATGATTTAAGGGCTGTTAGTTCATGAATTGGTGATTGATTGATCAATGCATCAATCAATTCAACAGCCACGATTATTTTTCTAAAATTAAAAAAAAATAATCTTTTACTTATTAAAATTGTTGGCCAAAATTAACAGACCATAGTACCGTTTGATTTAAATCGCCTATGATAGTAATAAATTACCAGTTAAGTCAATCAGTGATTAATTGTTCAGTACATCAATCGTTTCAATAATTACTGATCATTTTCTCTAAAAAGAAAAACCTCTGTTATTTACAAAAAGAGTTGGTCAAAACCGGCCAAAATTCACCTGCACCGTCTGATTTAAATCGTATGTGAGGCCCTCATTGGAAACACTGTAGAATGATCTTCTTATTCTAGTTTCATGAATGTGAAAGCAACTTTCTTTTAACTCAGCACATATATAATGGCATATTTTCAACGTCTTTTTCGTCGTGTCGAGTTCTCAGACAAAAGATAGTTCTTTTTCTGAGTCTTATTTGTCGCCACTTAGTTCTTCAGAAGCATTTCTTACCAACCAAAGTTTGTCTGTTTGTCTGCTTATTGCTTTCTTATCTTAATTCGTCATCCATGTATTATTATCTATCTCCTTTTGCCTTGTTCAAGGCTTAACCACTAATATTAATTAATTACCAGCTTTTTTAATTATTTATTTTCTTAACACACACACACACACACACACACACACACATATATATATATATATATTGCTCACTGTAAGTAGACTAGACATAACAAGGTCCCCCACAATGTTATAAAGAAACAGAGAGATGAGATGTTCAAAGATCAGGTTATGTCCAGAAGACAAGAAATACGTGTAAAGTTGTAAGACTACTTATTCCAAATTAGTGGATTAAGATAGATATAACTAGGAGGTGAATTATCTATATATTAGATCTAATTACATATTCTTCATTTTATTTATAGATGAGAGAGAAGCCTAAAACGTGTATCATTTTTTTTTTAATTTAAGATAGGGGACTCAAAGTCTATATTTTAACTTTAACAGTGAAATTACTGATAGGATAATGCTAATCGTATCTCCTTATATACATAAATTGTGGTAAATAACACTTTTTAAAAATGAAATAAGTAAATAGTAATATTTTTAAATATTTAAAGTAAATAGCATTAAATAATAAATTTATTAGGTAAATTTACTATTTACTCTAAATATTTTAAAATCTGCTATTCAAATCAATTATTTATTGGTAAACGTGTATTTAACAAAAGGTAGTCAATAGTGCACACAAATTATAGGGTTTAAATATTTTTCTTATAGGGTTTGAATTCAATAAATCACTTGAATACGTATAAGACATGCTCAGGGCAAAAAAAAGAGCACATATTATTCTTCCATGATCATGAGCTTGCTATTATAGGCTAACATATACATCATCTAGACGTCAGTCTTATTTTTTTTTTTTTGTTGCTGAAAATAAATAAAAAATATATAGATGTATATAGAGTTTGGATGAAAATTACTAATGTGACAACATTAACTTTAACCGCACAGCAAACATGATTTTTACATTTGCAACGTAGTTAAGAAGGCTTTTCTCAAACTGTCTATTTGATGAAGAAAAATTTCTAAAGAGTTATTTCATGCATGTGGTACTGAATATTAATTTTATTATCGTTAACAATAATAAGACTAGTAAAGTTACTTAAGGCCTCATTCATTTTACCAATTTGACTTTTTAATTTTAATTAGTTCTTATAAAAAGTCACATTTAACTTTTTCTGTTACAATAAAAATTCTTACATAAAATCACACATCAACTCAAATTAAATATTTGAATAAACAAACTGAATAAGCCTTTAATTTTTATCTAATTAATTTATTTACCAGTTCTTGATATGACAAGTACTTTATGTTCAAACCTTAAAAAATTGAAAAGCTTTAAAGTATTCTCTCAAAAAAGGAAAAGAAAGAAAAGAAAAGCTTGAAAGTAAGTTAATAAAGAAAACATAGTACAAAATTTGTCTAGCAACACACAAAATATTTGCTGATTTAACAGTATTATTGAAAAACCAAAAAAAAAAAATCGTCAAATAATCTTTAATGTTGTAGTTCTTATTGTCCAAACAAAAAATTTATTCTTTTACCTCTTATTTGCTTTCTCATAAACCAGCTAGATTATATGAATTTATTTTCTTTCCGCTGATAAACTTTTTCCCAACTTTATTGAGCTATATATACCTTTTTGACAATAAATCATCTAAAAAAACTGAATATTTTGAAACCAATTATGTTAATTAATATATATGATCTGATTAAGATTTAAGATTGTTGTACGAGGGCGCAACATGTGGAAGGACTACTCAGTAGTGAATTCGCTAGAAAAAGAAAACCCTCTTTTTTTTTCCCCCTTTACCTGAATTATTATGTGATTTTGGTCTACATAAAGCGTTACAACATTTACCCAAATTAATCATCAATCAGAGAAAAAAAAAAAAAAAAAAAAAAAAGGAACCCTCTAGAGATCTCATCATACAGATTTCAGCTCCTTTATAGTACACAAAATATATTTTCAATTAAGCCCTTTATTGCATTCCTATGTTGACCCGTAGAAAAAAGGGAGTGGAAAAAAAAAAGTGCTCTGTCTGCCAATAATTTGATTGCCTTTATAAATAAGTCCAAAGTACTTTTTATTTGTCCTAGCTAGATCACACAATGCACTTTTAACGAACCAATAATTATAGGTAAGTTCCATCAGTTTCATCTCATATTTTATTACGTTCCAAGCTTTTTTTTTTCAAAATTTATGAAAAGAGAGTAAAAAAAATACCTTATTCGTACGACACCATTGCCATTAGAATGAAATAATAAACCCGAAAATGAAAAGAAAATTTTTTTTTCCTTAAATGCTGAAAAAATTAGTGAGGCGGGTCACCAGTTGTAACTACACTTGTGTGTTGACCAAAGGGGCCCCAACACTTGAAACTATCGTGTTGAGTCATAACTATGTGTTGATAAAACGTGTCACCTCAACCTTACTGAGCGAATAAATATTGAATCAAAACTTTTCACATCTTTGACAACCCTTGTTACTTTCACAACTAGTAAAAAAAATTTTGCTTTCTTATAAATAAAATACAATTAATGAATATGTCACATTAAAAGGAGGGCTTTGTAAAAATAACTCAATAGAAAAATTTTATTAGTAAAATAACTTTTTAAAAATTTATATTTGTAAAATGACCACTTTTTACAAAGAATGATTAGGTGGTCATTCTTCATAAAAAATGAAGAAGGTCATTTTGCTAATTTCACTTTGTTGGATAGTCATTCTAGCATATTCCCCCATTATCAAAGATGCAAATATTTTGAGCTTTATAGCACCTAGCAAGTACTTAAAAGTTGCACACATGCTAAACTATACAGTACAAAATTTTTTAAGCATTTACAAATATCTATAAGATGTGGTCAATTATGCAAAAACTATACTTACAGAAGTCAGAAACAGGTAAGCAACATATTGCATCTTCACAAGGTATGCAAGTGTTTTACTTTCTCAATAGCTCTCTTAACCTTGGTCAATGGTTCTTCATACAATATAGCAGGGTTGTCAAACTCCAATGCCAAGCTTGGCTCTCCGAGAAAGGCGCGGAACGAGTCTACGACAGAGTGTGAAAGAGAATCGAGGTTGTATCCTCCTTCCAAGAAGAACACGCATCGACCGCCGCATAGATCTTTGGCAAGTTGTTGAATGTTGGACGCAAGCATGTAGTATGTCCCTGTTGTAAATTGCAGGCTGGCGAGTGGATCCAATACATGAGCATCATACCTGAAAAGTTACATGAGAACAAAATAGATAAACATTTTTTTTTTTTTTTTATCAACATGACAAGGGAAATAGAAATAATTTTTTTGGTTGACGCTGCGTGCCAGTCTGGTATAGCTTTTAGAGGCCCGCCAAATTCCTTCGCACATAAGACAATACAAGTAGTGTGTTTTTTCAAAAGTTCATAGAGTAGTTTGGACCAATGCATTTTTACAGTTATATGTCTTGAGAAGCTATTTTTTAACTAACTTTTAACTTTTGACTTATGCTTCTACTTCTCCATTTGGCTTTGCCAGCTATCCCAAACTAGCTGGGCCTAATAAGACCTTTCTTTAGGAAGCAATGACAACGATATATATATATATATATTGCAATATGATAGTATTGGCGTATATGTAACTCACCCTGCAGAGACCAGAATAATATCCGGCTTAAAACTTTGAGCACACGGTACAATAACTTCATCAAACACAGTTCTCATGGCAATATCACCTGAGCCTCCTGGTAGAGGTAGATTTAGAGTTGTTCCTTCCCCATCTCCTTGGCCTATCTGATCAATTTTACCCGTACCCGGGTAGCTTCCGTCCTGAAATGGAAGCATTAAAAATAGAACATGTTGGTCTTTTGTGCAATTTGCATCCTGTAATGACCTTTACCATTAGAAGCACTTATAATCTGTTCAAGATTTTATTACCAGTTCACGGAATCGTTTACTATGAAGGAAATGTAGGAGGAAAAGGGAACTTTTTAGATATGGGAAATGATTTCAAAGGAACTTGTGAGTCAGAAGACAAAAGATAATTTCTATGGTCCGAACCAAATCACTTTGCTCACCTGGTGAGTTGAAAGAAAAAATATATCAGGGTCCTCGTAGAAAGCATCATTTGTGCCATTCCCATGATGAACATCAAAATCGATGATAAAGATGCGCTTCAAGCCGTGTACACGTTGAGCATAACGAGCAGCTATGGCCACATTTCCAAAAACGCAGAACCCCATTGGCCCCTTTGGGATAGCATGATGTCCGGGAGGTCTTATCAAAGCAAAACCTATAGGCTGATTCTGGCTTAGCTTTGATGCTTCAACCTAAAATGAGATAAAATATAGTTTAATCTGAATGAAATATCAAACAGTTAATGAAATAGTTCCAGCACAGATGAATAAGCAGAAGAAACCAAGATATTACCACTGAATCAACTAAGGAAATCCCTGCTCCAGCTGCAATTAGTGAGTCCTCGAATGTCTGCATAATTAACACCATTCATTAGGGAAATCAAAAGAAAAGACACTTCACTGTATAGATCTCACAAAATTAGGAAGAAACTTTTTTTTTCCCTGAATTCCGACCAAGAAGCAAGGGAGCTTTCACGCAAGACGTTGATATGTGTTGGAATATCTTTGTTATTTGGAATTGCCTTATGGTTTGCATCGATATTACAGTTCAAGAATTCATTAACTGTCTAAAAAATTGCGCTCTGTATGCCAAAGTTACACAGCACTTTTCTGAGTTCTAAGTTACTGAAACTGAAGTTACTTATATCGACAAGAATAAGGAAACAAGAAATATCTAAATCATTGCACTTACATTTGCAGTAGCATATGTTGGTCCAGAGCCTTCAATGAAAATAATGCCCTGCTCTGAAGCCCGATCCATAGCCTACAAGCAACAGACAGAAAGATATTTAAGCAGAAAGAAACTGTCTCCGCATGGGTAAAATCGACTTCATATGCCTAATTCACTGCGTAGTCCACCATTCATTGCATGAAAAGAACAGGAATAGGACTAAGTAAGCAAATTGGGAATCATGGATTCAAATGTTGGTGGTGTCATAAACTGAATAATGGTTCTAGTCTCCTCTATTAACTACAGACATTCTCTGAGGGTACGTATCTATTCCTTTTGATCCCTAGACCGGATTCTATTACATTCAACATTTAGTATAACTTTTTGCATCACTGACTAGGCCAGTGTGTGTGTGCGCACGGGTGCGTGTGTGTGTGTGAGAGAGATATATTTTTGGAGCGTGTAAGCTAAGTTGTTATTATCGGAGCGTGTCAGCTAAGTTCACCTTGGAATTATGAACCTAAGTTCTCACATTTCCTTGTATTTTAGTTTGACTTCATACTTGCTACAGCCTATAGCTATTAGGCACTTTGCTTCCTTTACCATGAATTCATTTGGAGATGAACTCAATCGCTAAACAAAGCTAATTAGATAAAATTACTGCCAAAACTTGGTTGAAGGATCAGTCTATGATTGCATACCTTACCTGTATTAGAAAGTAAAGTAGAGAAAAATTCTAAGAGTACCTTCTCAAGGCCCGTTACATAGTTCCTTGTATGAACGCTTGCAATGTCATCTATTGAAGCGGGCTTGAATTCTCTGAGTTCCATAATCGCTGAGCCACGGAACTGAAGATAAGAAAAAAAAAACATAGTTGAAGTAATAAGACACTCTTCTACTTATAATTACTCCTACCTTTGGTAGAAACTATTGAAATGAATGCTTAAATGCTACTTTATTTGACCAAGGATAAAAGATCCTAGTATCGGCAAAAGCGAACAAAGTTGGACAGATTAAGGGTATAAGTGAAAGATGACATAAAACTTTCATACAATGGTTTCATACCTTTGGTGTGAGCTCCATCTTTTCGAGAGCATTCACAATTGAAGGGACTCTAAGATGGGACTCCGGATGAGATTCCTGTTGACATCACTAATGCAGATCACCGTTAGAGGTTATATCTGCATAAATCAAAATAAAGAAACAACAGCACAAATGAGAGACGACTAGAATTTGTCATTGCGACTCGTAATTGCAATATGTCTTTATGGAAAATGAGCAGGAAATCTAATTGTACCTGATTGTGTCCCATGGCTGGAGCTACAGCATAAATGACTCTTGAATCAGTTGGCTTCTCATTCGAAGGAACATACGAGTCTTTATCAACACCGGCCGAACAAGAAATGGAAATGTCTCTTCTCTTAGAGAAACATCCACTTCCATTTCTCAAGTTCTTGTGGTAACATGTACTTCTCAAAGGTCCTACAACCAATCCAAATCTAGTATGGATCTTCTTCCACCCGCATAGACGCCGCCGCACCAAAAGCAGTGCATTCCCTAACAGAACAAGCAAAATTTGTTCCTGAGACATGTACTTCCACATCCAAGATTCATATCACAGGTATGCAATACATTTTAGACCTCTTTGGTTTGGCGCTTACGCTATAAATCCAGAATTTACGAAAAACACAATGCTCTTAGAGGTTTTTGAATGAAATACTAATAGTGGGAGATTATGACCCCTTTCCTTAAAAATTGTGTAAATTTTTGAAAACCAAATTTTAATGTGCTCTCAATAAATTAATGAAATAATAATTGCACTCTACTCAATAACAGCATTATATATGAGAATTCTAATTATACCCCACTTATTTTTGTTACGTTCCATATTGTTCTCCGGCTGAAAAAAAAAAAAAAAAAAGAAAAAAACAATCTCGACTCTACCACTGGGCAAGTTGTTTTTGAATTGCAAACAAATTCTCTCACTTTTTTTTATCATTTCACAATTCTTATTAATAAATGACTAAAAGAAACTCCCGTCTATATTTCAGAAAGTTATTTGAACCCAATTAAGATAAAAGCGGCATAGTCATTACCCAGTTGCAAAGTACTTAAATGAGTTTCTCTATATGTCTATGAGAGGAAATTATATTAAAAAAAAAGGAAGAAAAAAAAACAAAAGTGATAACATTACCAGGAAAAACTGAAGAAGGTGAAGATAGGAGCTCCATCTTGCGGAGGAGGTGATAAAGAAATTAGTGATGTCAACTGAAAACAAGAAACTAAAGAAGAAGGAAACAAGTTACAAGTCCACTCCAGCCCGGTTTTCTTTCACTCATGATAACCCTATTGGGCCAGGCCTTTTATACAGTTCGGATAAGAGATAATTAAACTAAGGCGACAAATTTCCGGTTGAAATTTAACAAAATTTTCGGAATACTACAGAAACAGCAAAAATGGCGTAATAGTTATCATGATGATTTTATATTTTGCACTATATTATGATATATTATTATTTTAATGATATTAAAATTTTCCATTCTTGTAAAATTTTAATAATTTCGTTATATGTGCGAAGAGCATTTAGAATAATGGTCACACGCCAATGTTCAAGTTCTTCGTGGTTTTTACTTTGTATTGGCCTTTTTTGAGCTATCTTCTAGTAAATAATCGAGCTTTGTGAAATAAGATAAATGACGATTTATTAGTGATAAACCATATAAATTGCTAGCAAATCGGTTTATCACTTATTGATTTAGTGGTGTATCAATGATTGACTTGGTGGTTTATCACTGATTGATAAATATATTTCTTAAAATTTTATTCTTTCCTTATGTTTTCTTGTTTGCTTTCTCTTAATAGATGTTTGAAAAGTTATCACATCAACTAATATTGAAAAATTCTTTCTACTGAAAAATGAAAACTAATCTATCACGTGAATTGGTATAAAAAAAATGAGATAACCCCCAAATAGTCACCACATGTTTGTGTCCGTACAAGATGAATGGTCACTCAATGGGTCATCCCACGAACGAGTAACTACCAAACTAGGAGTCATTTGTCATGGTCTCGTGTCAAACTAGGTCACTTTATTTAACGATCCAAACATTATGTAATGTTCTTATTATTGAGTGTGTGGAGCCTAATTATAATTATGATGCAGATTTAACACGTGAATCGACCTCATAATTAAGTTGTGCCGGTTTTATTCATATTAAGAGATATCGAGTTTGAGTAATATTAAAGGTATTAAAGGAAAAAAATACAGAGTGTTTGAGAGAGGCTTGAAGTGTGATTCTCTTGTAAACATTCCTTTTTTTTCTTAATCGTAATCAAATTTTGTAAAATTCTTTTGTAATTAATGTAGCACTTACATTAAGAATAAACCGTTATAGATCTTATGAGTTGTTACTTTAATCCATAATGCCCATCTAACTATTTCTCGGCTTACACAAATAATAACTCAATTGGAGCACCTTCAAGCACATCGATGATCAATTTGTTAGTCTACTCGGGAATGGTGGATCTTACCTATGCACCACAGCCTATAGGACCGGTTTAGTAGTGTTGTAGATTTTAGAAAAATTGTTGTTAGTTCTGTTGAAAAAAAAAACAGTTATTATAGAAAGTAGCTGAGTGTTTGGTAAACTATAATTATACAAATATTGATTCCAGAGGTATTATTAGTATTATAAAAGTTTCATTAATTGTACTTCAAGGTAATTGCCGCACAATCTAAAAATCAAAGTTGCATTTGAGCTGCTTCTGATTTTAATTGTAAATTCTTTAAAAATTCTTTAAAAATCACTTTTTATAGTTTTTACAAAACATAAATTTCGGATGTGAATGGCTAGAAAATTGATTTTAAGCTTTAAAAATCACTACCAAGCATACCCATAATATGATAATTAGGTTTCTCTTGTCATAAGCATATATAGTAGTACTCTTAGAGCAATCTTATATGACCCAATTTAGTAAGACTCATTATTATATGAATAATGAAAATTTATCTACGGGATGAATTTTATTTTCCATACTCGTATGTGTACAAACAATGTGCTTTGTCACATAATCCAACGGAGACAAGCAAACATAACACCATCAATATTATGCTCAAGATTCGATCTGAAAAAGGACAATTTTGGACCAAATTGGATCAATTCTAATTAAATTTAGATAATCAGTGGGGTTTCTAGAATGGGGAACCCCTATTTACAGCACAAATCATAGACCTGAAATGATCTTGAATGTGGAAACATACAAAGCCAATATATATATATATATATATATATATAACATATATAATATATATAATATATGTATATTCTCGGGAAGCTGCAAAAGAAATGTTGCATGGTTTTGCGAAACCCATGGTTTGGACAAAATTCTTGGAACATATATATAACCGATTGACAACATCACTCAGATCTGGAGGACACAGAATTGATCAGGTTCGGAAACCAAAGGCCAAAACAGCAAAATTTACAAGTATCACGAACAATAACTAATAAGAAAATGACA